AGGCTGCAATGCTTGGTAAGAAATGTACGCATTATCCTGCCCATGCAATTGTAACCCCTCTGTACAGTATGTTCACAAATAAAATAAATTTAAATTAAAAAAAAAAAAAAGAAATTGACCATGGCATGGAATGTCAGGATGGGGGATCTCCAGTGTTTGGCTATATTCTAAAATGCAGAAAGGCAGTAACTTTACGGGTACCATTTAACAAGGGCCTCATCCAAGGTAAGATCCTAGGGATAGAGGCCCAGGAAGTCTTGCTGAGTGGGCCCATTGCTGCTCGGAACACACGCTATCCCCTCCAAACTCTTTTGGTTTTTTAACAGCATCCTGGGGGGGGCTCTTCTTCCATAATTTACACCCCTTGGTACCCTTATCTCATCTTTCTGTCTCAGGTTCCAAGTATACTGTGGATGGTCTCCTGGAAGACACAGAGTAAGAATTCCTAGTTATAGCTGTGAACAAGGCAGGCTGACTTAAACCATCCAACTCAGTGGTGGCCAAAGATCCTATTAGTGAGTACAAGGCCGCCAGGCTCCAGCACATAGTAGAATTAGCCTTTTCAAAGCTGAGAGAGAAATTCTTTGCTTGGAAAGTCTGACAGGAAGGATCAGTCTCCACTCCCTGGAAACAACCAACCTCATAAAAAGACAGGATTTCCACACAAGAGAAAGCTTGCGAACAAAGATAGAGCATCAGGAATGGTGAAGGGGAAGGATAGAAAAAGTTTGTACGGTTTCAAGTATTTCTGGTTAGGTGAGGTAGTAGAGGCATGTTGAAGATTGAATGGGAATGTTGAATAATTAGTTGAGAAAGTCTTGAATTTAAGAAATGAAGTGGAGGTGCTACCTATAAAGAGATGTGGTGAGATGACTTGGTTAAAGGGTAGGATTTTGAACATAAGAGGTCTGAATAAGTAGGTGACCTTGAATTTGGAGTATTTAAGAATGAATTGGTAAGTCAGTAATCAAATTTGGAGGTTGCTGAGTATGCAAGGTTGGGTATTGAGGATATTACCTATGGGAATTGGAGGTGGTAGTGAAAGTGAGGGTTCAAAGTATGAAGTGTACTCAGGAGACTGAAATTTAAAGACTGTAATTCAAGGCCAACCCTGGGCAGAAAAAATTTGCTAAACTCCATCTCCAAAATAACTACCAGAGCTAAGAATGTGGCTTAGTGGTAAAGTGCTTGCCTTACATGCATAAGTCCTGGGTTCAATTCCTCAGAACCACATAAACAGAAAAAGCTGGAAGTAGTGCTGTGGCTTAAGTGGTAGAGTGCTAGCCTTGAGAAAAAGCTCAGGGATAGTGCCCAGGCCCTGAGTTCAAGCCCCAAAACTGGCAAAAATTTAAAAAACTAGCAAATGCAGGGCTAGAGGCATAGCTCTAGTAGTAGAGCACCAATCTAGCAAGTGTGAGGCCCTGTGTTCAAACCCTAGTAATGAAAAATAATGAAAGAAATGAAGAAAGGAAGGAAGGAAGGAAGGGAAGAGAGGAAGGAAGGAAGAAAGGAAGGAGGGAAGGAGGGAGGGAGGGTGGGCAATGTCAGGAGAGAGAGAGAGAGAGAGAAACAAATTTGAGACATGAGGTGAGTGAATGAATTCAGACATTGGTGACTGAATGTCTGTGCTCTCCCAGAACCCCCAGGCCTGGTGTAGGGCCTGCATGTGTCTGATACCTCTATCTTAAGCCTCTCACTGGGATGGTGGGAGCCTACAGGTGACCTACCCTCTGGCTACATCTTTGAGATGTGTGCTGAAGACAGCAAGGAATGGTCCAAGTGTACAAGGATCCCCATCTCAAGCACCTGCTACACTGTAGGTGGCCTCTACAAGCAGCAGAAATACTTCTGCATCAGGGCTGGAGTCGGGGAGCCTGAGGAGTTAGAGGAAAGAGTCCATGCCATACCACCACCAGGTGAGGATACATTGGGGACTCATCTAACAGGGAAAAAAATGGGTAATGCTATGCTCAAGAAAAAGTCAAATTTCTTGTGAGAGAGCTAGGAGAAGAAACCCCAAGGACACCATTGATTTAAAAAAAAAAATTGTTGTGTGCCTACAGTATCCTCGGTGTGCCAAAGGAAGTGTTGGGCATACAAAAACACTTAAGACATAGGACTAGTCTTCTAAGATCTTCTATACTAGCAGAGAAAGACAGAAGAGAAAACAAACATTTCACAATGTTTCGGGGTCATTAGATGTATAGCTTGTAGTGGAGCCAAAAAAGGGAAGTTGGGGAAGGTGGTAGAGGGGAAGCTTAAAGCTGAGTCTGCTTAAAAGAGAATTCCATGCCCTTACCTCATTGTCTCCCTTCTCAGCCACTCCCAAACTTGACCAAAGTGCCCGGCTGAAGAGTCACCTGGTGGTGCGTGCAGGAACAGCCCTCTGCACCCATGCAGCCTTCTCTGTGAGTTATTCCTGACCTTGGCCCCCACAGACCCTCTGTATAACAAAGATGGCTGTTATAACCATCAGAATCTCTGTATTGGACTGTCCTTTGCCAGATTCCTGACACTACATCCAACAGCAGACTCCTTGAAAATAGGAAAGTGCCTTCTCTTCAGATATCATCTGAATGATCTCTGGTGTCCTCTGCTGTCATTATGCCAGGGCTCACCACCACCTGACATGACCCGGGCAGAAAGATGGGTGGGGAGACAATCCCCAAAGGCAAGAACTAATCCCAGTTCCTCATCATTCGGTACTACCGTACCAAGTGCTCTGACTCAGGAGGGTATCGAACCCTGCTGCAGAATGCGTTTAGACAGGCACACTCTGACATCCACATGCATGTGACAGGTACAGCCAATGAGCAGTGCTCTCCAGACGTTTCCTAGGACTTCCTCCAAAATGTAGTTCTCCACTGCTTAGTAACCTAAGCACAACTTTGCAGTACAGTGTCTAAGGTTAAAGAAACCACCTTACCACCTCAAGGCCAGGCTTTATCAGCCTTCGTAAAGAGGGAAGAAGGAAAAGGATTGGTTTTTGTTTTGTTTTTTCTTTCTCAAAGGCTTGAAGCCCAGAAAACATTGAACTAGAACAGAGTCCTCGAAACAGCTTCTTATCTGGCTCAGTTCTTATCTGGTGAGCACAGAGGAAATGATGCAAAAGTTCACCCCATTTTTGAAAAAAAAAAAGTTCTAAATCCCGAAGAAAAAGAATGAACTTTTAGGGCTGGGAATGTGACTGCATTCATGAAGCCCTGGGTTCAATTCCTTAGTACCACATTCACAGAAGAAGAAAAAAACAGAAGTAGAGCTGTGGCTCCACAAGGTAGAGTGCTAGCCTTGGCAAAAAGAAGACATTTTTCTTATGAGTGATCCCTGTTAATCTTTGTTTTTCAATGAGGAACATGAGTCTCACATACATTTTGCCCAAGAGTCACAGAACTACTGCATGGCCAAGTGATATTTCAGAAACAGAGCTTTCTGATTCCAGCACTTCTGCTATCTGAGATTCAAAGAAGAGTAGTATCCCCCTGTTTAATCAGGCTGTGGCTGTGGTTAGGGGTACAATACATCCACCCTAAGGGTCACTGACAGATCATCTAAATGTCCTAAATTTCCCCCAGCCTCCTACAGACTTGAAGCTCTATGAGGAAGTCCCTAATACAGTGACCCTGACCTGGAACCACAGCTCTGATATGAAGGAGGAGGATACCCGCTATGTCATTTGAAGTGGGATGCAAGCAGCCCCACCTGGTTCACAGTGGCAAGAGCATGTCTTTAACAAGTACATAGTAACAGGGTTGATCCCTGGAAGGAAGTACTACTTCAGAGTTGGTGGCTCACAATGAAATTGGTGACAGTGACCCATTGGACTCCAAAAATACCTGGCTCATCAATAAGGACCAGAGTGAGTAGGAAACTTCAGGTTTGGGTTATGTCTGGGAGCCCTGATAGAGATGATGGGAGTCACAGAAGGGAACAAAAGAGCTAAACTCAGGGAACCCTCAAGACAGAAGTTTTAACATCTGAGACACTTGGAATGTAGATGTTGGGGAAGCTTAGCAAAAACAGTATCTTAAGCCAGGCACCGGTGGCTCATATCTATACCTATAATCCTAGCTATACAGGAGGCTGAGATCTGAGGGTCACAGTCTCACAGTCTGTGAGACTCATATCTCCAATAAACCATCAGAAGTGGCTCTGTGGCTCGGTGGCAGAGCACTAGCCTTGAGCAACAAAGCTAAAAGACAGTGCCCAGGCCAAGTTCAAGCTTACCCCAGGCATCCTTGAGCAGAAAATGCTAATGAAGACTGCGAAGCCCTGAGTCCAGGCCCCAGTATTGGCACACATACACACAAAATCTTAGGAGTAATACTTAACATGGAGATAGAAAACCTTATGGGCTGAGATGACATAGGGACCAGGAGGAATTACAGAGTACACCTGCGTCTGCTCTGAAGGGAGGTGATAATGGGGGTGAGGGCTGGGACTCTGGCCAGCAAGCCAGAATGAAGTCTGAGAATCCTGGAGAGGATGGGTTAAGGAGAGATATTATAAGAAAATGAAGGGCTAAATGTATACTCTGGAAGCTGAACTGGTACAGGAAGTCTGGAGAAGTTAAAGGCCAGGGTAAACACCTGTAAAGGTCTGCGAAGTTAGTACTGGACAGACACCTAGGCTCCTAGGCTCTGGAAAGTGTAAACACTTGTGAAGCCAGCTTAGATTGCAGTGGACCCCCAGAGTGGTATGGACATTCAGAAGAGTTGGGGGAAATCCTGGGGAAGCATATAATGTTAGAGCCTCCAGCATCACTAGCTCTTAAGAATCTGGTCCAAGTCTTTGGCATTCTAAAGACTGGGTCTCCTAGGTGCCACGCATGGGTGGCAGGTGAGAGCCTTTGGGGACACTCACATCCTGCATTATCCCACTTGGCAGTTGAGGACCTGAGTACCACACAGAAGCTCTACCAGCATAAAGACTGGTGCCATGTACCCTGCTTCTTGACACCACACAAGCCACACACAGCGCTCCATAGCCAGGACTGCACCATGATTTATGCCTTCCTTGGGAACCCATGGCCCACTGTGACCCTGTACAAAGGTGATGTCAACATCACAGCTAACTCCAAATTCTGGTACAACACTACCAGCAGTGTGTGCACCCTTGTCATACTTACCTGGCGAGTACAGCATACTGGTGGAGAATGAGCTAGACAAGGATCCCAGAAGCTGCACACTGTCTATGGTGAGGGAGCCACCAGGGCTGGCATGGGGACCACGTGGGAGAGGCAACAGAGGCACAAAGTAAGAGTCTTGTGGGCCATCAGTCAACTCTCTTCATTTACTGGCACCATTCTTTTCTTGTTTCAAACCCAGGACATGGCACTTGTTAGGCAAGTGCTTTGCCACTGAGCTACATATCCCAGCCCATGGCACCATTCTGAAATTTGCCATCAAGTGGTGCAAATATTCTTACCTCTCTTCTATCCTCTCAGTTATGTCATGTTCCTGGCCCCTAAGATGTGGAAGTGTCTGACCTCTTTGATAATCTGTGATTTGCAACCTTTGGTGGACCTAGATCACTTTTTAAAGATACTGTTCACTATTCAGTATGCTGAGATCTGAAGATTGAGGTTCAAAGCCACTCCAAGCAGCAAAGTCTATGAAATACTTATCTCTACTCAACCACCAAAAAGTTGGAAGTGGAACTCTTAATTGGTAGGGTGCTAGTCTTGAGTAAAAAAGTTCAGGAACAGAATTGAGACTATGAGTTCAAGCCCCAGGACTGGCACACACAAAAAAAATACTGCTCGTCAAGCCTAAACCAGACTCATCCATCACAAATGAAAAATACTGGCCTAGGACAAGAGCAGGTGGAAGGTACAAATGGAGAAGACCAAAGGGGATCCTTCCTTTTGCATATTTGTTCACATATGTGACTGTAGCAGGAGCTATTTTATTCTTTCCCACACAGGCTACTGTCTTCATAACTGTTCTCACAATTAGCCATAAACCTCTAAATGCAAAGCTGATCTGCCTTGCTCTCTTTTATTTAACTTCCCTCCTAGATTTCTTCTGATCCTCATGATAAAATCCCAACAAGCCTCCCTCATTCTCTGTTCCTCTCTCTCTCATCACACTCTAGTGGTGTTGCTCCCACTGCTTTAGTCTCTATGGCTACAGGCCATTTTAGAACCAATTACAGGTGCCTTCTTATGGAGTAAGGACAATATCCTATTGCTCTATCTCTCAAGTGTTCCACTAAGTGTCTGGCCCTGAGATGATGACACCACCAGAGTAGCTGCTGATCTGTGGAATGGAACTAGGCCAGGAGGCACTGGAGGAGCTTTCCAGCTTTCATTCCACAGACAGATCTTTGACCACTTAATTCTGGTTGGTCCCTAAAGCACATCGACCCAGGGCCCTGAAAGCACCAATAACCGTCCATGTGATCATGTGATCATACCTCTATGTCTGCCTTTTTACCTACTAAGATTGTGAGGTTTAAGTGAAATCCTATATGGACATGCCTGCCCCAATGCCTGATAAATAAGTACTGAATAAATGGCAATTCTTAGCCCCACACACAGTCAACCCAGATTGAGGGCCCCAAGGCCATTTCAGTTCCTGTGTGGTAACTAAAACAATTTGGAGTTTTCCTAGCCCCCAGCAGCAAAAGTAACACTAAATGAACATTTACTTTGATGTTTCAGACATCATTGCTAGCATCAATCATGGAAAATCTGCAGAAGAAATCAAAGCACCTATGTGAGTTCCAGCTCAGGCATCAGATGTTGTGATGTATGGCTTCTTTGTCCTTGGCATGGGCCCCTATAGTTCAGGGTGCCTGCTGGTGTGTGTTAATGCAAACATTCTAGGAATAGGACAATAAATTCACCAAGCTCACCCTTTTCTGTTTCTGTTTAAAATGGGCATCATGTGGACAAACACGTATAGGACAGACCAGTCTCCAAACCCACCCACAAGAGAGGGACTTCATGAGTTAAAGCATAATGTATCCATCCCTTCCTCTCAAGAGCATGGGGGGCAAGTCTTACTGACTTGATCTTTCCCCCCATCCTGCTCCCTCCTTTTCTTCACATAATAGGCCTTATGTTCAGCATTCTGGAGTTTGAAAGGGTGAGGGTTTTGTCCTTATAGGGCCCAGGAAGTTTACTATCCGAAATAAAAGGGATTTGGCACTGAGCTTATGATTTCAAATATATTTTTCAGTGGATTCCTTAAAAGAAAAAAATGCTGGACCTGAAATAATAGGTCTTGGGCTGGACACTGCTGGCTCACGCCTGTAACCCTAGCTACTCAGGAGGCTGAAATCTAAGGATTGTGGTTCAAAGCCAGCCTGAGGAAAGAAAAGTCTGTGAGACTTTTATCTCCATTTAACCACCAAAAGCAGAAGTAGAGGTGTGGCTCAAGTGGTAGAGTGCTAGCCTTGATCTAAGAAAGCTAAAGGACAGCCTCCAGGAACTGAGTTCAAACACTAGGACCAGTACACACACACACAAAAGGTCTTTAAGACTTTCAATCCTCTCCTCCTTTTGCTACATCCCTTAAGGGATCTCTGTAAAACTCTAGTTTGGGACTAGGGATATAGCTCTGTGGCAGAACACATTCTTAGCATGTGAAAGGAATTGATTTTGATCCCTAGCATAGCAAAAGAAAAAAAGTTTGAAAAATCATTGAACAGACATGAAACTTGAATCTACTATAGCACAACCCCAAAAATGTATAGCAACTCTACCAATAGTATATTCCCCACCACTCAAGACTTCCCTTTCTTTTTTTTTTTTTTTTTTTTTTGGGTCCAGTCATGGGGCCTGAACTCTGGGCCTGGCGCTGTCCCTCAGCTCTTCAGCTCAAGGCTAGCGCTCTACCACTTGAGCCACAGCACCAATTCTGGCTTTTTTCTTTTTGCTTATGTGGTGCTGAGGAATCGAACCCAGGGCCTCATGCATGCAAGGCAAGAGCTCTACCACTGAGCCACCTTCCCAGCCCCAAGACTTCCCTTTCTACAAGTGGCATTTGCCTGTAAACTGACAATGTCCCCCTAGTGTGAGCAGGTTTCGTGTCTAGTATATGAACTGGCCAAACTAATCACATTGCTCCTAGCTGCTCAACTAAACAAAGGTCTAAGGAAGAGACACTTGGAAGGAAGTCTGCAATATTTTGGAGCAGGCAAGATATTAGATGTAAAGATGGGAGGAGGTAGGCAGCAGCAGAAGGTAGCTAAAGGTCCCAAAATTATTGGGCGCTCATGCATAAGGGAGTATATCAAGGACAAATATGGACAGAGCCAAGTATACCCATCCCCCATCCTGCTGAAGTGCCTTATACTCACATGTGACCAGGGAAGTGAGACCCACTTAATCCAGCATAGTGTCACCACAGCCAGGGAACCAGGCTAGCGCCAAGCTTCTCTGGCCAAAACTGTGACCCAAGCTGTGAGGACAACTAGGTTCCCTGGCACCATGCCTCTATCCCCTGTCCAGGACAGGCACGTGCCACACAGACAGACAAAGTAGGGAAGCCAATAGCCCTTGGTTTTTATTTTATTTCTTTTTCACATGGGAAGTCGAGGATGGAGTTGTCCATCCTTGCTCCCCTTGCACTGCATGTGCCTTGGGGCTTAAGACTCCAGAGTGTCACTGGAACCCCCTCTTGCTCCCAGTACATATGATACAGGGAGGAAAACATTGTTGGTGCATTGTGGGGAGGGGTCCTAGCTCTCTGAGCCAGGCTCAACACCCCTCAGCAACTCCCTGAGACCCTCTTTCTCTTGATTCTTTTATAGACAGCAGGACAAAGACATATGACAGAGAAAGACATAGACTAATTAGGCAAGATCACATATCACTCACCTCCACACATGCTCACACACACATACACTTACACACTCACACACATCATCATCATCATCATTCTGGCCCCTTCCTTTGGCATGGTTCACCTAACCCTGAGGATAGGATCTAAAGGTGGTTGTATGGGGCCTGAACTCCGGGCCAACCAGTGAGGGAGACCGGGCCAACTTTAATCCTTGGTACCTGCAACCTCCCAGACTAAGGAAGTTACTCCTATTGCCTAGCCTAGATAGATACTCCTTTACCTTCCCACTTAAGAATTGAGATTGTTCAAGTAACAAGAAAAGGGAGCCTCCACCCTCTTCCAGTCTTCCCAATTCCTAATTGGAAAAGGGCTTTAAGCCCCACCTCTGCATCATCTCAGCAGATTTGTTCCCTCTTTCCCTCAACTTTGTGTAGAACAGAATGGGTTAGAGTAGAATAGCCCAGCATGGCCAGTGGTCCTAGGCATAGAGATGGAGTGACTCTTCAACCTAGCAGATAAATGGAAGGGTCAAGAACTGAGCACCATCACCCTCCAGTGGGGCTTTGACAGTCCTGATGGAGTACAGGTGGGACAATGTCTACTCCAACAAGGAGCATGAGGCTGCCTCTTGGGCTCTCAGCATTGTCCTGAACCATTGGCTTTGCCAGGGTGATCCGTCTGCTTTCCCCCTCAAACTTGTCAATTCCCCCAGAGGTACCTGCTGTCCCAGACTGGGACTGATCACTGAACCACCCTGATCTAGCTCCTTCAGGTTCCCAGGGTCTGGACCCCAGCCCCAGGAAAGAGGTGAGCAGACCCTGGGTCCTCAATTGGCCTTTCTCAGTCTGTAGTCTTCCACTGGCTCTCGGCTCTCCACAGCTGAAAGGGCGATGAGCATCTGAGCAGCATAGTAGGTGGACATGATGAGTGCCCGAGAGTAGGGCACCGGAAAGCAGAACTTGTTGAGAGCGATGGTCATGTCTGAGATGATAAACAGCAGTGCACCACCGCCAGCTGCTAGCTCAGTCCAGCGCCAAGCTGCCCCGACTAGCTGCAGCCCTGCAATAGCTCGCCAACCCATGAAGCTGATAAGGGCCACATAGACCCCCACCAGATAGGTGAAGGCACCTGAGAGCCCTGGGTAAAGGAGGGCATAGCACAGGCCTGACAGCACTCCCATCACCAGACCTGTCCGGAGAGCCAGTGGTCGCATGCCAAAGGCTGAGGCATAGAACATGTGGGTCACAGCAAACATCAGCAGACCTGAAAATAAGAGAAGAAAAAGGATGCTGAAGGCACCCTTGGTGATTAATGAGTACTAGGGATGGAGGGAAAGGGATTAGGGATAACCCAGCAGTTTGCTTTGGGAGTCATAGGGATGAGAAGATCCTTAAAAGGTAAAGATGGTTCTCTCACACACACTCCCATGAAGAACTCTAGAACTGATCAACAGATCCCCTTCAAGGTCATTCTCCAACAAAACCCCACAGTCCCTGGCCTCAGGAACCCTGAAATGCCTTGTTTAATATTTCCCTCTTCCTCTTTGCTCCAGCCCAGGACCCTCTTTTAACCTCTTTTAACCCAAGCAGCTTCTGTGATCACTGACCGTGCACAAAGTAGCCTTGGTCCTGCCAGATGAGGAAGGCATCACCTACAGCAGAGAAGACAAGTCCTACAAAGATTCGGGTGGCACTTGGATGAGCCAGCAGGAATCCAAAGCCATGGGCCAGAAGGAAGAGCCAGAGGCAGAAGATGGGCAGGCATTTTATGAGGGCGCTGACCCAGGACGGGCTGGATGAGGGCAGCCACAGCACAAAATACACGCAGGTGGCCTTGAAGAAGGGTACCAGTTTGGGTCCCTCACTCTTCACCTGGAAAACAAACACAGGACAAACGCAACATTCAGAGCTCAGAAACCCATAGGGTAGTTCTGAGCCAGGACCCTTCCCCCTTCCCCTCTCCTCACACCACTTTCCACACTATCCTAAGAAGGCCCAAACTATCCTTTCCCAACCAACCAACAGTGTGAATAAACTCATTGCCCGGGGGGCTCAAGCTTTAGGAGGAAAGGCTCCACTGTTGTTCTTACTCGGGTCTACTCTGGCTAGGCCAGAATGGTTGCTTACTAGGTAGCTAATAGTAGTCCTTTGGTTAATATCCCCTTCAGCAGCCCAATGCTTTTCCCTTCTAAACCCTGTCCCCAGGAGCTGATTCTCCATCCTAGAGCTGCTTTAGCCCCATTATTCCCTGCCTCCAGCAAACTGGAGTGAAGTCATTGAGAAGCCACAGAGACACCTGACAGTCCAACTCATGATCCTTGGGCAATGAGACCAGGACATAGGCTTAGGGCCTTGGCAACACTAGGTAGTGCCAGGAATGTTGGAGAGTTGGCAACAACACTACCTCCAACCCACAAGCTCTCCTTCTTGACCAGCCTGCTCCTTAGCCTCCAGGCTACTTGTCTTAGGCATCAAGAACAAGGAGGGGTGCTAAGGATGGATAGCAAAATAGACCCAGGACTGGGAGTAAGAAAACTGTTTTGAAACAATAGAGATTTCAGGCCCTTGGATGAGTGCGTGTCAGTCAGACTTGTTTCCCAGAGAACAAGAGCGACTTGAAGCACACCAGAAAGAGGCAGGAAGCGGGGTGGGGAGGGCTTCTTGTCCCAGCTTCTGATCTGGAGCCAGCAGACAGGCTGGGAGGAGATGGGGAACTGAGAGGGGGAAGTTGGAGCAGCTGACTTGGTCTCAGCCAGATTAGGGGGGAGGGCAGCTAAAGAAAGGTTGTACTCAAGGCTGCTGCATGCATGGTCCAAGCTGGGGGAGGGGACTGCTGCAGATGTTCTGAGTCTGTGATCCCCTGAAGCTCTTCCTTGGGCTACTAGTTCTCAGGTTCTGAGGATAATTTGGAGCAGATGGGGTTCACTGTAAATCCGCACTGAGCCCAAAATGCTCGTGTCTCTTCCTGGGTAAGCTATCCAGAGCAGGGGTCTGGAGACACATGGAACTCCTAGCCTACCAGAGAGAGGGGTGGGGAAGAGGCAGAATTCCGGGGTCCAAGCCTAGTCTTGTCCTGTTCTGGAGCAGAAATGATTTTCGCTTTCCTTGAGAAGTCCTCTATCAAGGCTGGTCAGGGTGGGGGCATGTCCAAGGGAGAAGACGGAAGAGGATGCTGAGCCTCACACGTCCATTTGCTAGGCTTCAGAAGCATAGACAAGTCCTCTCCCTCCTCTTCCCAGTCTCCTATTTTCTAGGAGAAGCCGAGAAAGTGGGGAGACCCTGAGAGTCATATTGAGAACCCAGCAACAGAAAAAGGATAGGAAGACGACAAAGGCAGGAGTTGGGAAAGTCTGAAAAGGAGCGGGATCCATCCTCGCCTCACACCTTCTCCCAACTGCTGGGACTCAGGGGCGACCCCGCCTACGTCTCTGTGACCTGTTCCTAAGTTGAGGAAGCGGAGGAAACCAACTTGGGACAGGATTCCCAGGAGGTCCCCGTCAGCCTGCCACCCCCCCCAGCACCCCACCCCGCCCGCTCCCACGCCTCCCCGCGGGCCGCCTACGCAGCACCCCGCGCCCCGCGCCAGCCTCGCTCTCTGGGCCACGACCCCGGCGACCCGCGCCAGTGCGCTCATCAACAAAGTCACGCTTCCGAGTCACGTGCCCGGTGTTTTCCTCCCTCCGGCCGGCGGACGGGGGGCGCGCGGAGGAGGGCGCCGCGGGTGGGGATCGTGACAACCCCCGCCTCCCGCCCGGGGACGCTGGGCTCCTCCTGGGCCCCCGGCAGGTTGGCCTGCTGCGGCCAGTCACTCAGACCGGTGGGCTTCGGCCGCTGACTCGCTCGCTCGCTCGCTCACTCACCACCGTGACCGGGGACACCATGGCGGCGGCGGCGGCGGCTGGCACAGGGCTCCGGGCTGCAGCGGCCGGGACGCACCCACAGCCAGCTAAGCAAACGACCGTGGAACAAAGCCGAGGATGAAGGACAATGTACCTCCCGCGCGCCGAGGACTGGGGGTTCTGTCCGTAAGCCTTGTGACGTCATCTCAGCCTCCACCAATGAGCGGGCCTGAATCTTTGGTGGGCGGGGCCCGCCTGCCGGCGCCGGCTGCACTCTCAGGGTTTCTGCCCCGAAAAATGAGGTTTCCCGGCTGGCCGGAGGCAGGACCCAGAGGCCACGCCTGCCCTGGGGGCGGGGCCAGTGCATCCCGGAACGTGACCGTGACCCCTAGTGCCTGAGTGAGGAGTAAACTATGCTCAAAGACAAACACATCTCTGCCCAGGGCACGCATTCAGAAACATTTTCTCATAGATCGAGAATAAAAACGACAAATTCCCTTCAGGCTTTGAACATTCAGTCTACACAGGCATGATAAACATTTTAACTGTACATGTATGTATATAGATGTAAATACCGATATAGATATAGATAGAAGCCAGAGATGCATAACCCAACATTATACAAAGAATTATATTCTTTGTATACAGAATTACAATCACACTACACAAATGTAGGCACTTGTTAAACACTAAACAAGTATACACAAGCACAAAACCAGCAACCATGGATTGACTTCCATCCTTCACTGTAAAACAGAGACATCTAAAAAGGCAAGCAGTAACCTACCTATGGACCCCATAACGCTAATATAGAAGCAAACTCAAATTCTCAGTTGTCCTTGGGCACATACCTCTCACAACTCAGACAATTGATCACACACACACACACACACACACACACACCATAATAACAGACCCAAAGGAGTGAAGCAACTTTGCCAAAAAATACATTGTAAGTGACTATAATGTTGATATATACTAGAAATGCTCAAGCACATTTGGAACTGTATTTGTTCAGAATCAGGGAGATTACTTGAGTGGAATGGTAGGTAGTCAACTGAATCCAATCTAGTCCCAATTTTGCATTTCCATTCCCTGTAATCACTTCCCCTCTCTTGCCTTGATTTCCTTATTTATGAGTGAATGATCTCTAAAATTTTGCCTAGCCCAAATATGTTGTGTAAGATGAGAAAGAGGAAATTTAAGTCTATCAAGCTTTGCAGAATTTAAGATTTCAAATACATCTCAAAGGATGGGCAAGTTGTCTGTGATCTTCAGTTGGACAATACCTGTGATGTTAGGCTTAGGAACTGGAGGGTGAAAGGTAACCAGCCCTAGTTAACAGCCATCAAGGAGTCTCATCCTGGATAGTAACCCTTGTGCTGCCAGGGACAGACAGGAACTGAGCCCCCTCCCACAGTGGGTCTCTTACTTTTTCTTCTGGGCCCTAATCACCTTTCCCTAAACCTATGTATTGACCTTACATAAATAGAGGACAGCCATCTTCTAATGATAGAATTGACAACCAGAAATTCAGAACCTGGATTAACAAGGGAAAGAATTAAGGAAAGTAGAGTTCACCCTCCTCTACTCCAAGCACCACCTGCACGGAGCCCCAGCAGTCAATGAATTTTGCCTGCTTTGTTTTCTTTCTAGTCAAGGGCTATGGGAAATCCCCTTACCAAAATAGGAGAATGAAAATTGTGCCCCCAAGAAATGTTCCCTCCCTCCCTCTCCCTCTCCCTGCCACACACACACACACACACACACACACACACACACACACACACACACACACACACACACACCAGAAACCTACATCTCTACAAAATATGCTGCCTGGAAAACCTTTGCTTCCTTATCAACAAAATGGAGGAATCAGGCTATTAAATAGGTGAAATACATTTTAAGTTTCCTGCCAAAACTCTCTAATGTCCCTTAAGGACTTTTTCTCATAGTATATCCAAGTCAGGACATTTTTTTTCATTTTTGGTCTGGGAAGGTGGCTCAGTGGTAAAGCCTTGCATTCAAGAGGCCCTGGGTTCGATTCTTCAGCACCACATAAGCAGAAAAAGCCAGAAGTGGCGCTGTGCCTCAAGTGGTAGAGTGCTAGCCTTGAGCTGAAGAGCTGAGAGACAGCACCCAGGCTCAGAGTTCAGGCCCCACCACCGACCAAAAAATAAAAATAAAAAAATAATTTCTCTGGACCTAGCTTGCATAGAAATGAGAAGGTAGACTGTATTAATTTAACTAATGTGACCTAGCAAAATTTCTTGTGAAGCTTTTTAAAGATGTAAATGTCATTGTCCTACTTAAGACCTAGTCACAGATTTTAATAAGCTTGCATGAGCAAATACCTAAATATACAAAAAAAATATCTAGAATGGTCATCCACAGAATTTGAGTTAGTATTTGATTACCCAATAGGCAATCGTGTACACAGGTCACCCACAAAACAGATACCTATCCTCCATGTTGGTTATTCTTACTCACCTGACCATCAATCAGATCCATTCTTGGTCTTTTTCCACTCTGCCCCAGAAGCCTAAGGTCTATGTGCTAACCAGGACTCTGGCTTAGAGTTGAGTGAGCTAATGAGAGTCACAGGCCAATCTGAGGATGATAGAAGAGCCTTATCGGCCTGAGTATGAGGCAATTCTAGAGGCTATACTTCTTCATGATTACCTTCATGCTCTCTTCCTGGAACTTCAGGCCTGAAATAACTATTTCATCACTAATGATTGATTTTGTAAGTGTGCTTGACCTTTTTTTCTTTTTGTCGGTCGAGGGGCTTGAACTCCAGGCCTAAGCACTGTCCCCAAGCTCTTCAGCTCAAGGCTAGCAGTCTACCACTTGAACCACAGTGCCACTTCCAGCCTGTTTATGTGGTGTTGAGGAATTGAACCCAGGGCCTCATGCATGGGAGGCAAGAACTCTACCACTAAGCCACCTTCATACTTGACTTAGCTGCTCTAACCTTGTTTATCTTTAAAGACAAAATGCCTATAAGTCTGAAGTTCCTCTTCAGGTGGGCTAACCAAAACTGGTTAGATGGCTTCCAGTGTGACCTCCAAGAAACCTCTAACTTCATTATTATCCTTTATGGCTGCATTCTAGATGACATAACACATGACAGCATCATTTCAGTTAAAAATTGCTGTGATTACTGAAAATACTCATAAAAGGAGCAAAAACAGGGGCTAGGAAGGTGGCTCAGTGGTAGAGCACTTGTCTTGCAAGTGCCCTGGGTTCGATTCCTCAGCACCACATAAGCAAAAAGAAAAAGCCGAAAGTGGCGCTGTGGCTCAAGTGGTAGAGTGCTAGCCTTGAGCTGAAGAGCTGAGGGACAGCGGCCAGGCTTAGAGTTCAGGCCCCACGACCGGACCAAAAAAAAAGGAGCAAAAACATGTAGCATCTGAATGCCCAGAAAATCTCTATCCAGACCCAGAAAGACCCATATTTAGCCTGTTTCCCTCCCTTCTTTAGCTCTAAATCTGTAACATTCTGACCCACAGTGAATCAAAAAGTTGATTTGTGAGTCTGTCTCCTACTATTATTCTTGGCCAAAAGTAAAAGTGTAATTCATGTTATAGGTTCCAAAATTCCAAAGACTCAGTCTGCTATCAGAAATTGGTAAGTTTCTTTAACCTACACACGTATCTGTCAATAGTCATTAGATTCTCTTGTTACCTTCTTAATGGTTTTTTTTTTCTTTTATCTTTTTACTTTTTTTTTTTTTGTCGGTCATGGGGCCTGAACTCTGGGCCTGGACACTGTCCCTTAGCTCTTCAGCCAAGGCTAGCGCTCTACCACTTGAGCCACAGTGCTACTTCTGGCTTTTTCTGTTTATGTGGTGCTAAGGAATCGAATCCAGGGCCTCGTGCATGCAAGGCAAGCACTCTACCACTGAGCCACCTTCCCAGCCCTTTTCTTCCTTTTAATTTTACTTACTTTTTTGTTTTTGTGGTTCCAAGGAATAGAACCCAGGGCCTTATGCATGCTATACAAGCATTCTACCACTAAGCAATGTTCTCAGCCCTTCAGTTATATTCTTGAGGTGTCAGCCTCCTGAGTAATATACACAATAACAAACCAGAGGCCCTCACTGCTCTCTTCCCAAAAAAGAGTCTACCCTAATTTCATTCATATGAATAAGGTATTTTTTTCAATTTTTTTTCCATCGTAGGGCTTGAACTCTGGGCCTAGGTGCTGTCCCTGAGCTCTTCAGCTCAAGGTAAGCCTCTACCACTTGAGCCATAGCACCACTTCCTGTTTTCTGGTGGTTTATTGGAGATAAGAATCTTACAGACTTCCCTGCCCGGGCTGGCTTTGAACTGTGATCGTCAGATCTTAGCCACATGAGTAGCTAGGATTACAAGTGTGAGCCACCAGAGCCCCACTTTTTTTTTCAATTTTTCGAATTCAGTGTTTTATCAGGTGTCAGAAAGTGGGGTAGGGATGCCTGAACATTGATATTCCTTCCTTTCCATACATAAAAGGACTTGTTACTTGGTCCTTTCTACACAGCTTTGTAATTTTCCTTGCTTGTCTCCTCTATTAAAAAAAAACTATAACCCTATTCATTCACTCATTCATTATCCAACACATATTTTCTGTGTACCTAATATGTGCTAGCTCCATTGGATATTGAATAATATACAAGTTACTTCAGACAGGCAAGACAGAAAATAATGTGGTGTCATAACTAATATAAATGTAAAGCTGGGTGTGGTGTCACACACCTGGAGTCCTAGTTATTTGGGAGGCTGAAGTGAGATCAGTGGAGCCCAGGCTGAGGTCAGCCAGTCAGCCCTGATGCAAGCTGACTTGAACAACACACTGACACCTTGTCTCAGAAACAAACAACAAGAATAGTTAAGATATGACAGTATATCCCATCAGAATCATTAATTGCACCTTTCACAATTGAGGAAGCTGTGGCTAAATCTGGAAGGACAAGTTAGTCTTCATTGCCAATGTATATGACTTTTAGGCTTCATATGTGTACCTAAAAACAGAAGAAGAATGCTGAATTCAGGGGGATACTTGTAGAACTTAGACTGGCTGGGGAGTAGAAATGAAGAAATTAGAGAAGGAAGCAGGATCCAGGTCAAAAAGGATC